CTCTGGAGTTTGGGATGACCAGTGTGCACCATTATGTCTGGCATGCTAGAAACAAGATACAGAAAGATATAGGTGTGGTCATTCCACCAGTGGATTCAGACTGGAAGGTGGTGGGAGAGTTGATGGTGGTTACGGGGAATTCTTCTAAAAACAGGACCCTGAGATGAATAGACATATTTAAGTATATATCACCCAGCCAACTTCTATTTCTGCCTAAGATGAAATAACAGAAATGGAATTCACCCTCTATCCTCAAGCAACTAAAGAGTTGGTACAAAATAAGCAAGGCATGGTTGTTCATACTTTCTAGGCTGAGAGAAGAATGTTTCCAGGAAGTCCAGGCCAGCCCTAGACTATAGGATGAGACATGATCTGTCTTAGCTATGGTTTCTATTGCTGGGAACAGAACCATGGCCACAGCAACTCTTATAAAGGAAAGCATTTAGTTGGGGCTGGCTCACAGTTCAGAGGTTCAGTCCATCAGCATCATGGTGGGGAGCATGGTGACATGCAGGCAGACACGGTGCTGGCTACATCTTGACCAGAAGGCAGCAGGAAGTGGATTGTGACACTGACAGAAGCTTAAGTGAAAGAAACCTCAAAGCCTGTCCGCGCAGTGACACACTGCCTCCAACAAGACCACACCTCCTCCAAAAAGCCACACCCCCTCCAACAAGACCACACCTCCTCCAACAAAGCCACACCTCCTCCAACAAAGCCACACCTCCGCTAGTGCCACCCTCCATGAGCTTATGGGGGCCAATTACATACAAACTGCCACATGGTCTCAATAAACAAAATAGCAACCAAACAAAACACGATGAGCAAAATGTGTGAAACAGTGTCTCTGGGTACCTCACTGTCAGGGGGCAATCCAGAGCTCTAGCAAGAATGTGACTTTGACCTCGTGGTGACAATCCCAAGGACATTGATGGAGGGTGTGTGGAGCTGAGACAAGAGTGACCCATGTAACAGGAAGTGGACCTCATGATGGCTCTCACTAGCTGCCTTCTGATAGTTTTCAGGACACAACACAGATGGGGCAGACAGGCAGAGTCCAAGAGTCTCTCTGAGTCGAGAAATTGGATCAGGGACCAGTGAGGCAAAGCAGCTGAAGTTTGGAGGGAGGGAACCAAAGAGGAGAGCGCTTCGGAAAGGAAGGACAATGACAGGACAGAAGCAGGGAGGTCAGAAGTCTGCAGAGGGTCCCTCTGAGTCTTGGACAGAGACTGACCAGACATGAGTGTGGGAAAGTCAGGAAGAGGAAACAGTCCCTGGTATTCATACAGTCAAGGAACAGAACAGACTGTGATCTCACTGCATAAATCACGGTGTCAGAAAACCCAAGGGTGGTGCAGTCATGGGCAAAACCACCCTTAGACCACTGGATAGCATTCCAAATATCAGAACATAAGAGAAAGCTTTGAAAAGATCAAACTATTTCCAGATAACCCAACTGTGGTCCACAATTTATTCCAGAGTAGTTCAATAGGTTCTGGAGAGATGGCTCAGCAGTTAAGAGCACTGGCTGCTTTTCCAGAGGACCCTAGTTTGATTCCCAGCACCCATAAAGAGGCTCACAACCCTCTGTTAACTCCAGTTCCAGGAGAGCCTCTGGTCTCCATGGGCCCCAGGCATACGTGTGAGGAACAAACGTATTCAGTCAAAACGCCCATACATACAAAAAATTTAAAAAGAGCAGGATGTGGTGGTGCACATCTTTTTTTTTTAATTTAAATTAGAAACAAGGTTGCTTCACATGTCAAAGTGGTGCACATCTTTAATCCCAGCACTCAAGAGGCAGAGGCAGGCAGATCTCTGAGTTTGAGACCAGCCTGTCTACAGAGTCCCAGGACAGCCAGGGCTACACAGAGAAACCCTGTCTTGAACTCCCCCAAATTGTTAGTCATACAAATAGCTGGGAAAAAATGTGACCCACAATGACAAATCAATCAATAAAAACAGCCAGAAATGACATAGAGATTAGAAAGAAGATGATAATAATAGACAAAGACATGAAAGATAGGTGTTATAAGCTCAAGAAAGGAAAATGTTAACTATATTAAATAAATGCACAAAAAAACTACAGGAAGGCTCTCAATCAAGCTTCTAGATATGAAAATATATATATAAATTATACTGCCTGGCCGGGTGGTGGTGGTGCACGCCTTTAATCCCAGCACTTGGGAGGCAAAGGCAGGTGGATCTCTGTGAGTTCGAGACCAACCTGGTCTACCAAGCGAGTTCCAGGACAGCCTCCAAAACAATACAGAGAAACCCTGTCTCGAAAAACCAAAAAAAAAAAAAAAAAAAAAGATTATACTGCCTGTATAAATGTATATGTATAGATATGAAATACATTGGATGAGGTGAATAGCAGATTACACACTGCAGAAGGATGATAAACAGATGAACCTGAAGCTCAAAATGGAATGCGAGGCTGGGGCTGCAGCTCAGTGGTAGAAGGCTCGGTCAGCATGCTCAAGGCCACAGGTGTGAGCCTAGATGCTGGGAAAACAGAGGGCCAAGGGAGGTCAGAACCCTGAGAACCGGATGGGAGCCCAGACTGCGGTTCCAGAACTTAAGAGGCAGGAAATGGCGTGAGAGGCGCTCTGTTTGGACACCTTGCCCGTCGTGTGTGCACTAGCCTTCATGGGGGCAGAGAGGTGCTTCCTTCCGGTCTAGACTGAGGACTGCTAAGAGACCGTCTGGGGTGGCCATGTGGGCACAGCTGGGATGGCTGAAGGTGTCATTTGAAGCCATGGCCAAAGTGAAGCTTCCTGAAGCAAAATCTGCCACTGGAGTGGCGGCGGTGACATCTCAGTGGTTCCTGGTCTGAAGTCTCCCCGGTCTCTAGGACCAGATCCAAGTCTCTGTGACTGGCTCTGAGACGTCTGAAAAAGCCTCAGCGGTCAAGAAGACAACTCAGTGGCTGCTTGACAGCAGCTGTCAATCAAGTGTCCAAACTTCTCATGCCTGACAACTTTAGTCATTAGAAAACAGAGCAAAACCACACCACCACCAACAAACCACAAGAGGGTCTTTCAACAAAGATCTGTCATGAAATTAACATTTGTTTTTAGAGACAGGGTTTCTTTGTGTTGCTGTGGTTGTCCTAGAACTAGCTCTGTAGACAAGACTGGCCTTGAACAGAGATCCTCCTGCCTCTGCCACCTGAGTGCTGGAATAAAAGGTGTAGGACACCACCACCCAGTGAAATTAAGTCTTTTTTGTTTTGTTTTGTTTTGTTTTGTTTTGAGACAGGGTTTCTCTGTATTGTCTTGGAGGCTGTTCTGGAACTTGCTTTGTAGACCAGGCTGGCCTCGAACTCACAGAGATCCTCCTGCCTCTGCCTCCCGAGTGCTGGGATTAAAGGCATGCGCCACCAATGCCCGGCGAAATTAAGTCTTTAAATTTTTATTTTTAACCTTTTAAAATTATACATAGGTGTGCATGCCTGCACGTGGGAACTCACACATGAGTGCAGGTGTTCACAGAGGTCAGAAGTGTCAAATCCCTTGGAGCGAGCTGGCTGCTGTAAGTCACACAACGTGGGTGCTGGGAACCGAGCGGGGGCCACTGCAAAAGCAGCCAGCGCTCTCAGAGGACAGAGCCACCTCTCCAGCGCTCTCAGAGGGCAGAGCCACCTCTCCAGCGCTCTCAGAGGACAGAGCCACCTCTCCAGCGCTCTCAGAGGACAGAGCCACCTCTCCAGCGCTCTCAGAGGACCGAGCTACCTCTCCAGCGCTCTCAGATGACAGAGCCACCTCTCCAGCGCTCCCAGATGACAGAGCCACCTCTCCAGCACTCTCAGATGACAGAGCCACCTCTCCAGAGCTCTCAGAGGACAGAGCCACCTCTCCAGCGCTCTCAGATGACCGAGCTACCTCTCCAGCGCTCTCAGAGGACAGAGCCACCTCTCCAGCGCTCTCAGATGACAGAGCCACCTCTCCAGCGCTCTCAGAGGACAGCGCCACCTCTCCAGAGCTCTCAGAGGACAGAGCCACCTCTCCAGCGCTCTCAGATGACAGAGCCACCTCTCCAGCACTCTCAGATGACAGAGCCACCTCTCCAGAGCTCTCAGAGGACAGAGCCACCTCTCCAGCGCTCTCAGAGGGCAGAGCCACCTCTCCAGCGCTCTCAGATGACCGAGCTACCTCTCCAGCGCTCTCAGATGACAGAGCCACCTCTCCAGCGCTCTCAGATGACAGAGCCACCTCTCCAGCGCTCTCAGATGACAGAGCCACCTCTCCAGCGCTCTCAGATGACAGAGCCACCTCTCCAGCACTCTCAGATGACAGAGCCACCTCTCCAGAGCTCTCAGAGGACAGAGCCACCTCTCCAGCGCTCTCAGATGACAGAGCCACCTCTCCAGCGCTCTCAGATGACCGAGCCACCTCTCCAGCGCTCTCAGATGACAGAGCCACCTCTCCAGCGCTCTCAGATGACAGAGCCACCTCTCCAGCGCTCTCAGATGACAGAGCCACCTCTCCAGCGCTCTCAGATGACAGAGCCACCTCTCCAGCGCTCTCAGATGACAGAGCCATCTCTCCAGCGCTCTCAGATGACAGAGCCACCTCTCCAGCGCTCTCAGATGACAGAGCCACCTCTCCAGCGCTCTCAGATGACAGAGCCACCTCTCCAGCGCTCTCAGATGACAGAGCTACCTCTCCAGCGCTCTAAATCGTTGAAGATCACACAGATCTATGAGGCTTCCTCTCTGTAACTGAGTATGCTCTTCAAAGCTGTGTGCATGACAGTGGTGACCTGGCCAAACCTATTGATCTGTTGCCCTGAGAAGACTTTTAATATGTACTGTCCCCAGCATCTGGAACCAAGGACTGGGAAGGACCTTCCTACGACTCAGGAAGAGTCACACTAGCTAAGAAAAGGAAAGGAAGGAAGAAAGGAAGAAAGAAAAAGAAAGAAAGGAAAATCACTCTGTACGGGAAACGCCCCAAGGCTGGGGAAGAGTTAGCCAAAACCAACAGCATGCCTGTCCTAGCCCAGTGTCCGGCTCCATGGCCTGGATGCCCGGCTGGCTGCCCTGATCCTTATCGGTTCTCTACGCTGTGCGTTCTGCAGTGCCAGCCTTCCCGCCTCAGCCCGTGCCAAGGCATGGTCCCCAGCAGCACCCTGGCAGGGGGCGAGTTTGAGGACGCCCATCTGTGAGTCCCAGCCTGGTTTTTGGTGGGCATCTGGGTCCCTTCCCCAGGTTCTGGCAGAACACCCTTGAACAATTTAGCCTGAAATAGCACAGGGACGTCTTTCCTATTTTTTTTTTCTAGCTTTGGATGAAATTATATTTTACAAATGACTCATTCTTGTATTTATAGCTTCTCCCCAAATGATTCAAATGGTGGTTTGTCGCCTCCCTGTCTCTCGCTCCCCCATCTCAACAGGAAGAAGTGCTGTTTACTGTGTGGCCAGGTGTGGCTGCTCAGAGTGGCTTTGCCTCTCCCTGTAATTATGTCTGCCTAAGCCCTGACGAGCACCCCAGCACATTTAGTCATGAGCGGCCTTTGTTCCGGCACGCTGTGGGGAGACTGTATCTGACATTAACTGCTTAGAATCTGTTCCTGCAGGAAGCACATGTGTGGGGGTGGGGGTGGGGTGGGAGAAGAGTGGGGGAGCCTGGGGGAGCTGCTCTCAGCGAGGCTGTGACAGAGGGGGCCTTTGTGAGGGCAGAGGCTGGAGTTCTTCAGAGCTCCTGTGACAAGGCAGGGTGGGCCTGCACCAGCCCAGGGCCGGCACCACCACCCAGGGCCTCTGAGGAGGGACTCCTCTACTAGGGAGCAGAGAGGGTAGCTGGCACTAGGTGCTAGAGATGATTGGGTGGCGGTGGCTGCACCTACATTCCAGGCTGCTAGTGTCTTGCTGTGGACCCTTTGTAGCTCCTCCTCAAGGGACAGTCCTAGCCCTTTCAGGAATGGGGAGCTCTGGAATTGTCCCCTCTCCCCCCCACAGAGCTTCAGGCTCCAGGGTCTCATCGTCCTGGCTCCCACTCTGCCTTCTCCCTGGCACCCAGTGTGGTAAAGTTGGGTGAGCACTGGCTTGCTGTTCTCTATACAGGCCACCCCTGAGAAAGGGTGAGTCGGCCGTGGTGAGGCCCCATCTTATTCCACCGGGTGCCCCTGGGTTCAAAGTCCTCTTGACCTGCCTGGCCTATGTGCTGAGAAAAGGGAAAACCCCACAGAACGGGGAAGAAAGGCGTTTTGGAATTGTAGTGACATTCTCAGAGCCCCAAGACAACCCTCTTCCTCACGAGGGTCTTAGAAGCTGGGATGTGGTGATCTGTAGATGCTCCCAGATGGCTGTGAACAGAGGATGGGGAGACCAGCAGGAGCAGGACACCGGGAGTTTCCGGGGCCACCACAGAGAGATGAGCCATAAAGCTCCCTCTGGGAGGAAGACTTCCAGGGAGTCTCCACAGTCTTTCTGGGCTGAAGTGAAAGCTTGGCCCCGGGATGTTACAGCTTTGGCTTCAGAGGCGGCAATTGTGAGGGAGGCTGGACAAGGTAGGGGCCTGAAGTCGGCACCGCCCATGTTGTGTCCCTAGATCCCCTGCTGGGTTCCTGCTTCTTGGCACAGCCAGGATGAGTGGGAAGGGAGTCGGAAGGAGGCAATGTGGGGATGGGTGTGGACGACATAACGTAATTATTGGTGAAGTCAGTACAAGACCTCCATCAGATGATTTCCATCTGCATGCAGCTGGGGCCCACGAGCTTTGTTTGCTGAAACCAGGAGGCCTAGAACCTTTCTCTGGAAGGGTCCATATTGACTGTTCTCTCCTGCGGAGAGGACCAGAGGGTCATGGCGATGCAGGAATACCTGGGGAGAGAAACGATGCTTTGGCATTTATCTGGGTCTTGTGATCTGAACTCGTTTCTTGGCTCTGAAGGGAAGAAGAACTTTCATTAAAAGAAGAGAAAAGCTGCCTTCTACATCCTGTGGAAACAGCCAAGGCAGTAAACCCAAATGGTGGGCAGACTGAAGGGCGGCCAGCGCTACCAACGGGAGCCACCTTTGGACAATCTTTTCATGAGCTTTGCGGTCTGGTCTAGCCACTCAATGTGTGCTGGCATTTTTTTTTCTCACTAGTTTGTTGACAGCATGTTAGTGTGCTCTGGGCATCATTGGAAGGTATCATTTCTGGACATGTGTTCTGGGGGTACAATTCTTCTTGGACTATTATTGTCATACATACTCTACCCCCAGCTACGCTTCTGCTCGGAGCCCTCTCAGTGGCTGGTCAAAACCGTACGATGAGCAACCTGTCAGCAAAGCTGGGCACTGGCTCAGAATAAAAGTCAACTGTGGGGCTGGAGAGACGGCTCAGCGGTTAAGATCGCTGGTTCAGTTCCCAGCACCCACGTGGTGGCTCACAACTGTAATTCAGGTTTCTTGGGATCCAACCCCCTCTTCTGGCTTCTACAGGCACCAGTCACACATGTGGTACACAAAGTTGTATACAGGCAAAGCACTCATCATCATCATCATCATCAAATATATTTTTTAAACACCAAACACAATCCTCATCATGGAGACATACGTGTCTTGGCAAAATGAGGGTTTTCTGGTACAGACCAGGAGAGGGTGTTCTTCTGTCTTTGCTAGGTTGATGACTAAAGTACCCTGGCTGTAGCTGTGTTTACTGAATGTTACAGGCTACCTCCCTGTTTTCAGGTAGCTGCTTCCTCCTTAGGTTTGAGATATTTTTTGTACGATAAGGCAGACGAGATGGTGAAACGGGTTTGCACACACTTCTCAAAGCACATTCACCTCCATTATCTTGATGGAGACTGGCTATTATCTTCCTGTTTTCCTTCATAAGCATATTGAGACAGCTAAAAAGCACACAGCTGATTTTACGAGAGGTCTAGGTATAGAACCGACAGGTGATGCCGTTCCAGTTGTCCCTGCTCTTCGGTTTTAATCCCTTAGGTTCAAAGAAGGGCCCTGCAGCAATAAGGGCAGCGTTGACCAAAAGGTGGTGGGCCACAGGGTCTGAGAACAGGTGAGGTGTTTTCAGTTCAGGGACGTGCACAAGGTTTTCAGGGCTGTGCTGGGTACAGAGGGAAACTGATGGTGGGTTAACTCCAAGTCCCTCTTGAGGTCATGCTCAGGTTAGTTTTGTTTGTTTGTTTTGTTTTTGAGACAGGGTTTCTCTGAGTAGCACTGGCTGTCCTGGAACTCGCTCTGTAGACTAGGCTGGCCTCGAACTCACAGAGCTTCCCCTGCCTCTGCTTCCCGAGTGCTGGGATTAAAGGCATTCGCAGCCACCACCACCACTGCACAGCTTGTTTTTTTTTTTTAAACTTATTTAAAAGCAAATCACCAGGAGCAATTTGGGGTAGATTGCTTAACTATCTGGGTGCCAGATGTAAGGATTGGGGTGGCACGGACGGAAGGTTAGTGCTATCTAGAACATAAACTGGCATGCATGCTTTGTTATTCCAGGGGAGGCCACTGCTGTCCAGGAGAACATGGCTCCTTCTGAGGAGGAGGCTACGAAGAGCCCCTTGAGGAAGGGCTATCGTGAGAGCGATGAGGACTCTGGGCACGCTGAAGGTGAAACAAATGTTCTTCAGGAGAAACCCACAGGAGCTCAAGTTTGCTCTGGATCTGAAAGAAAACAGAGAAAGAGGAAGAAAGCTGAAGATGTGGCCGGGACTTAAGAGATGGCGCAGAGGTTAAGAACCCTTCCAGAGACCCGGGTTCAATTCCCAGCACCCACATGGTGGCTCCGTACCATCCATCCATCTCCAGTTCCAGGGGATTCAATGCCCTCTTCTGGCCTCTGCAGGCAGCAGGCAAGCAAGTGACAAACCAGGCACGCAGGTGAGTCACCTATACACTTAACATTACTTTAAAAAAGACAGAAAGAGAGGGAAACTGAAGACTGGACTCAGGAACGCAGGGAAGTTTTGGAGGTACAGAATCGTTGACCATTTTTCAGAAGAGTAATGTCTATTAGCGAGTTCTCCTTAGTAACCACAGACCCCAAGTCTGCTGCTGTGAGAACCGTGGAGTGGCTGGGAGAAGACACCAAGAGGGAGGAGCCCAGGCTGCTTAGGAGTTGCTGGAGAGGACAGCTGCTGAGCGGAAGGTGGTCATGGAGGCTGGGAAGGAGAGAGGCAGGAGATCCAAGCCACAGGCCAGGGGGAGCCTAAACCCTCTGAGAACCGATTGGTGGCACACTTTGGAAGGGTCTGTGAAGTTGGGGAGAAATGGTGGAGTTCCTGCAAGGGGCCCCAGTCATTCAGTAGAGTGTCTTGGCAGGTACACAGAAGGAGGTCTCTTCTTGGAGCACAGACTGGGCAGTTCAGGGGGGACCTCAGTGGAGCTCCCTGCCTCCGAATTTCTACAAACACAGGGCAAGGTGCTGGTTAGGGGACAGAGATAAAGCTAGAACCAATGCCAAGTCCAGAACTCTGTCTGCCTGTCTGTCTGTCTGTCTGTCTGTCTGTCTGTCTGTCTGTCTGTCTGTCTCTCTCTTTGGTTTTTTTTCTTTTCTTTTCTTTTCTTTTTTTTTTTTTTTTTTTTTTTGGTTTTTCCAGACAGGGTTTCTCTGTGGCTTTGGAGACTGTCCTGGAACTGGCTCTTGTAGACCAGGCTGGTCTCGAACTCACCGAGATCTGCCTGCCTCTGCCTCCTGAGTGCTGGGATTAAAGGCGTGCGCCACCACCGCCCAGCTCTCTCTTTGTTTTTCAAGACAGGGTTTCTCTGTGTAACAGCATCCCTGGTTATCCTGAAACTTACTTTTAGACCAGGCTGGCCTTGAACTTGCAGAGATCCACCTGCCTCTGCCTCTGAGTTCTGGGATTAAAGGCATGCACCTTTTAATCCTTGCTCGGAACAACACTTTTTTTTTTTTTTTTTTTTTTGGTTTTTCGAAACAGGGTTTCTCTGTGGCTTTGGAGGCTGTCCTGGAACTTGCTCTGTAGACCAGGCTGGCCTCAAACTCACAGAGATCCACCTGCCTCTGCCTCTCGAGTGCTGGGATTAAAGGTGTGCGCCACCACCGCCCAGATGAAACAACACTCTTTAAAACACCTGATTCCTCTTTAACTCTGGCCTGAGGTCTTCTGCATTGGGGCCATATGCTTTTTGGACTTTCCAGGCGTAGCAGGGACTCAGAGGGGTGGAGGATTGGGGGTATAACAGGCAGGCTTCATCCACACAGAGATCTCAGAGGAGCCTTGCTTGGAAAGTGACTGTGCCTTGAGTTTTTGAGAATGCTTGGTGATTCTTGGTCAGGACCTAGGTTAAGCGTGGGCTAGGGGGGACAGTCCTTCCTGGAACTGTTGATTCATCCTAAGATTTCTGGATTGGCTCAGCTCCTGTGGCAGGGAGGCGGCTACGAGACTGGCTGGGACATATCCTTCTGGTCCTCTCTAGCCTTGGCCCAGAGAACCAAGTCTCTGGACTTCTCTGTTTGACTTCCCCACATCCCCTGCCCCTTTGGTCCCAGCGTTGTCCATTACTTAGACCCTGGGAAAGAGACCTGGTGGGGTTCATATTTGGGGAGGTTGTCAAATGTGCTAGTTGTCAATAAAAACCATAAATGGGGGTTCAAGATGCTGGGGCCTGGGCTGGCTGGAGGATGTACTGTTTAGAAGGTTCAAAAACACCCCCCCCCCCACACCAGCTGGGATGGAGGAATGTCTGTGCAGAGTCAGAGGGGAGCTTGCACTGGGGCCTGGGCCAGCTTTCCCCTCTCCTGGGCCTCTCTGCTCTGGGGGAGTTACATGCTCTCTTTTACTCAGAGGCAGCTTGGGAAAGAGCAGGGGCCCTTTCAGGGGAGCAGGCCTGAGACACTGTGAAAGCCCAGTTCTTAGCTTCCGCTACCGCCCCAGGCCTGAGCCCCGATCCGTTTTCCACTCTGTTATGAACATCAATGCTTTTTCAAAGGTTGTTTAGGGGAAACACAGAGCCTTGGAGCTTTGCTGTTTGGAGGACCCTGGAGGCCAGTTAGGACAGCACCCCATCTTACGGGAAGGCTAATTTAAAACAGTTGGGTTTGGCAAGATCTAGGCTGCCTTTTCCTGCTGAGGCCTCTTTTCCTGAAAGAGACGGTGTCCATGGTGAACCACCGATTTCACTCATTCCCCATTGCCCTCCTTGGTGCATTTGAAAAAAAAAAAGAAAGAAAGAAAAAACCCTCAGAGGTTCCTTTTAAAGGTAACAGAGTTTGTTGCTTCTAGGGTGTTTTCAGTTCAGGCCTTAATTTGTTTGTTCATTTAAAATCTTGGCTCGCAGCAGGCTCCCAGCCGGGTCCTCCTCTGAGCATCATCAGGCTGTGCCTGTGATGGGAGGAGGGAGAAAGCTTGAAGCGGGAGAAATGGTTAATGTGGGAAATATTGGAATAACACCGAGGATAAGGCAGGGGCTGATACGGTCCAGGAGGCCTGGCAGTGCCGTGGGCAGGCTCTCAGTGCACGGTACATGGTGGAGCACCTTCAGGGAGTGGTCCCTCTAAGAACAGAAGAGACTGGGCAGTCCAGCAGGTCTCTGTGCAGTGCCTACATCCTAGAGATGGGGTGCATTTGAGCTGAGCTGTATTAGTGAGGTGGCACCTGGCTCCCCAGGGAGGGCCCTGAGCTGGGCAAGTCCTTAGCCTAGGAAGCTTTGGGAAGAAGGACCCTGTAAGCTGGATGGGCATAGAAGGGGTGCAGGGGTGAGGTGGGGTGAGGGTAGAAGGGGGAAGGTTGGGTAACGAACACAAGCAGGTGGGGGAGACCCTGAACTAAATTATAATTTGCCTGCTTTATCGTTTTGGCGAGTGGCTTAGGAGACTGCCAACTTTGATCTCACTTTTCGGACAGATCTTTAGGTTACCTCTTATAGCCGCCGCCCAAACCCTAGAGAGTTAGAGCCTTCTAGAAGCTGGCTCTTGGCAAAAAACCACTAGGCATACACAGCAGGGAGGGGTGGGGGCAACACCTGCTGGGGGTGGGCTGGGAGGGGCCAGGCGTGTCAGCAGAGGACAGAAACCTCTTTCTTTCCTTTGCCTTTTCCTGTGAGGTAGGATCCAGATTTAGGGAGCGGCTGTCCTTACATTGCACCCCCCGCTACCCAGCTCTGTACCAAGCACACGCTGAATACCCCAGTAACTGGATGAATGGTGTTAGTATGTGAACGAAGAGGGTGAGCCACTAGAATCCTGTAGGATACTGTCAACTACAGTGCTTTTCTCCAGGGTTTAAAGAATGACCGAAAACATTTGCTCTCCAAGATGAGTCTGCTCCTAGTGGTGTGGCAGGACTCCAGGTGACTCCCTGAGCTCAGCATGGGACACGGGGGTGGGGGTGGGGTGGGGGGTGCTCAGAGAATGGCTCCATTGGCCCTTAGCTGCAGAGGGCAGGCTCGACTGACCCAGGCTGGAGTCTGAGGTCAAAGTCCGTTGATATGTTACCAAATTGTTCATCAGCGTCAAGATTTTCCTGCAGGAGACGACACTCATCCTGTACCTCATCCATCCCCTGAAGTGGAAAATTAAATAGAATCTATATCAGTGGTTGTCAAGCTGTGGGCTGCGACCCCTGGGGTGGGGGGGGTCCAACGATCCTTTCACAGGGGTCACCAAAGACCATGGGAAAACACAGATATTTACATGGCGATTCATAGTCATAGCAAAATCAGAGTTATGAAATAGCAACAGAAATAATTTTGTGGTTGAGGGGTCCTACCACATCACGAGGAACTGTATTAAAGGGTGACAGCGTTAGAAACCACTGATCTACGCTGGGTGCTGTCTCTGACAGGCTGAGGGGCCTGTCTGGGCTTGGTTACTCTTTCTGGGATCCTTTGGGAGCCCATCTTTGTGGTTTCTGGAAAGGGTGAGGTGCTGAGAGACATCCGTCTCTTCTCCCGAGGAAGCCCCTCCACTTCTCTTGGGCTCGGCGCTGGAAGAGTGTGTCTACTCTATGCCAGCTGCGAGTGCGGCCTTACCCACCCCTTTCCACCGCGGAGTGACCCTTTTCCTTGCTCCCGGAGCTGTCGTACTACCTCTCTTTTAAGACTGAAAACATCCCCCCCTGCTTTTCAGGACCTTGGTTCTGTCTGAAAGGGCCACATCAGGGTTTTGTTTTCTCCCCGAAAGCGGGTGGCCTGGACACGGCCACTCTGAGCTATGGGAACGGTTGACGTTCATCATTATTCCCTTTCCCAACCAGATTATTTCCCAAAATGTTCTCCCCTCCTGCTGTGTGTTTTGCGACACAGAAGCCAGTGTGTGGGGCCCGGGTTTTCCTTTTTCTGGGAGGTTGGGAACAGCATGGGTGTCTCAAGCCACACACACACTCTGGCCTGATGGGGGCAGGACGAGCTGGCCAGGGCTGGGGGTGGGGTAGGGGTGGGATGGGGACAGACCCCGACACGGACCCCGGGTGGCTTTGTACGACCTCAGTGGCGGGTCCCGGAAGCAGGGGAAGTGCCCGGGATCTGCATTCCCAACCCAGTCTGGGAACCAAACTCCGTGGTGCACCAGGGGCTGCCACCTCCTGGGCCCCCGTATCGGAGGCCGGGCCAGAGAGAGGCCCCCCCGGCGCCCCCGCCCGCACCCCGCGCCCAGCTAGCAGCCCAGCTCCGGCCTCGCCCCAACCCTCTGGGACGGACTCACTGGTGACGGGGCGGGGGCCGGGGAGGAGGCAGCGTTCCTGCAAATCACATGATTTTCCCGCTTATATAAATCACAGCTTGTTTTCCTGAACTGGCTGCAGACTTAAAGGTGCAGTGTCTTCTTTCTCTCCCAAGGGCAGGGACTCCCCTGGGTGCCTTTGACCGCGGGCAAGCTGGGCGGGAGTGGCTTCAGCTAGGGACGTGTCACATCTCAGGGTTTACGCTAGCCTCTTCCTCCATACCTGGGATATTTCCTTGTACTGAGCATCAGAGAAAGGCAAGGAAGCATTAACCCCAAGTCAGAAACCCTCAAGGGTCTGGGGCCGCTTTTCAGAGTGGGTCAGCAGCCTGCCCTCCCCCCCTAACCCCCAGACAAGCAGTGACCCAGAGCAATCGGCTGAAGTCCTGGATGCCTGTTTTTGGAACCTGAGCTGGCAGGGGCTAGGAGGAAACTGGCCTGTGGGAGAATTCTGGAAGTCAGGGTTCTAAGGCAGGTGACCACTCTTCTGATCAGCACCGGCTGCTTTGAGGCCAGCATATGCAGGACGCGAAACCCATCTGCGTGTGTATCCAGAATCTACTGTCTACGTCCTAGGCACTGTGGAGGAGAAACAGCCATTAGACAAGTGCTTCTAAAATGTTTGTGATGAGGTGTGCAGACAGAGGCGGGGGCTAGATCTAGCAGCATTGGCAGTTTCAATGCCCGTTCCAGGCTGAACAGAAAAGACTCGCTGGCAGTGCTTAACCACCTGGGGATGGGTAGTTAGTATAAGGAGTCCTGCAGGCTTCTGGAGGAGAAGGGCGCCTCCGGAGGCCTTGGCTGCAGGTGGGCATGAGGAGAAGGCCGGAGGGGGACAGCCTGCTGGGTGATCCGGGTGCCTCAGTGGAGGTGGGGCATGGTATTGGGGGATGAACAGAGTGGGCGATCTTTTTGTCACACTGAGGAATTAGGAAGTGAGGACCGAGGGCTGGAACTCTGCGGGGTGGCCACTCGAGTTTGTGGGCTGAGCATGAACTGTGGTCCAATGAAGGCAGGGAGAGCAACAACCAACCCCTCCCCCGCCCCCAGCCAAATGGGAATGCAGGCCCACAGTATTTCCAGGACCAGCAGCCCAGACAGCCAAGTGTAGGATAAATGGGCGGCCCCTGGGGAGGGGGGGGGGAGCCCGCCTTCAGGTCTCAGTATTGGGATGTTGGGGGGGAAAAGAACCAACATCGAGGGTCGGAGCTGTTTAGAAGAAAGATGAAGGCGATTGAGTGGTTGTGTATTGGGGGGGGGGGGAATCGCTCCAAGTGATATTGACAGTTTGTGGGAGGTAGAGAGAAAGGGACAGCTTCTGAAGAGGGGGTGTGGGGGAGGGGAGGCCAGGCACTCTTTAGACGGTGTTTTTTTCTCGACCCCGGGCTCGAACAGGCATACCCAGAGGCCTGGAGCCAGGGAAGAGAATCTGCGTAGAAGAAAGATGCCTTAGGATGAGAACACGCTGCACACCTTCTGGGGAGCCAACAGACAGAGAGAACGAGGTCGGGTTGCACCCAGGGTGGCAAGGCTGTGAGGGCCTGTGTCCTTGGAGGTAGGTGGGAGGTTAGCAGGGCTGCTGTCTGCCAAGCTGTGATGTCATCTGGAGAATGAGGCTTAGGTGAAATGATTGACGTCTTCTCCCAGGTTTCCCTCCTACTTGCCACAGTCAGGCTGGGGACTGGGGATGGGCGTGTCCTCTCCCTCCACACCATCCTATCGCCCATCGGCAGCTTCTACAAAAATTAAAAGTGTGTGTGTGTGTGTGTGTGTGTGTGTGTGTGTGTGTAAGGATTCAGGCATTATGCTGGCCTGCCCCTGCCACCTGACAGAATACACTCAGGCAGCACTCTGGTCAGCCTGTGCAAAGGACCCCTTAAGAGAAAGACCTCCGCCCACTTTGGCTCTCTTTCCCACTCTCTTTTCCCTTTCTGTGTTTTCTTTCTCTCTCTTTCCCACTGTTCCTCAGGGGCAGGCAGGACTTTTCCTGTCTCCCGCCTCTCTTCTGTCCCTCTCTGTTTCTGTGTCTCTGTCTCTTTTTTCTTCCTCCCCCCTTCCCTCCCCTTTCTAATAAAACTTCTCACTGAGCTCTGTCTGGCATTTTTGTTTTTGTTCCCCACCTGGGTCACCCTGGCCTGCCAGGGTTCCCCCATGCTTTAACATAACGGGAGGGGGGGTTGCTGGAGAGATGGCTCAGCGGTTGGGAGCACTGGCTTTTCTTCCACAGGCCCCGAATTCAGTTCCCAGCACCCACATTGTGGCTCACACCTGTCCATAACTTCAGTTCCAGGGGATTCAACACCATCACACCAATACACATATTTAAGTTAATTATTTAAAAAATTTAACTGCTTTTATAGCTATGGGTGTTTTGTCTGCACACATGTCTGTGTACCATGTGCATCCCTGATGCCAGAGGAGGCTACAGAGGTGTCCAGACTCTTAGAACTGGAGTTACAGATGTTGCGAGCTGTCCTGTGGGGTGCTGGGAACTGAACTGTGTCCTCTGGAGGAGCAGCCAGCACGCTGACGCTAACGGATGAGTCTCCTTACCAGCGGCAGCCTCTGGAATTCAGCTACTCTCTGTACTGCTCAGTCGGTTTTCCTTTTTATCACCGCTTCCTCCTCCAGGATCTGAACTGGAAACACCCTGTTATAAAGGAAGGAAACTATAAGGCCTCCTTGTGAAGACAATTGTCATACCATTCTGCCCTTCCGGCTCTGCAAGGAGAACAGGCATCATCAGGTGGCCTTCCCAAAAGGGAAGACAGTTGTCAAGAGTCCCTTCCACAACTCTGCCGAAGAACTTCATGCTTGTGGGCCTTCACTCCTGAAGTTTTTGTTTTGTTTTTTTTTCTTCGAGATTGGGTTTCTCTGTGTATCAACAGCTCTAGCTGTCCTGGAATAAACTCTGTTGCCTGGCCTGGCCTTGAACTCACAGAGATCTGCCTGCCTCTGCCTCCCGAGTGCTGGGATTAAAGGCGTGCGCCACCACCGCTCAGCTGCACTCCTGAAGTTTTATGTAGTGGTCAAAATACATGCGCTATTCTGTGCGATTCTGGCTTCAGTGGGGTGGGACATTCTGGGTCACAGTCACTTGTCTGTGCTTCTACTTCTGGCCTGGGGCCAGCTGGAGAAACAGGCTTGGCTTTTGGGGTCACAGCACCCAGAGAGCCCATGGCTTTGAATGCAGCTTCCTTCTTTTCCTTTATGCTGCAAAGTTGCTGACTGCGAATCCTGAGCTCAACAAGGGTTCCACAGATCCTTATTGTGCCCATGGCGTGAGCCAAGTGTCGCTCCAACTGCAATGCCAACAGTTCAGTCTCCTAGGTTGCAGTGGGTGGATCCAGACCTGGCCAGCAGGGCCAGCAGCAACAGGCAGGAGGCCAGTCTTGGCTCAGCAGGATGAACAGCAGGCCCGACGGAGCCCTGGAACCACCCTGGCTGGCCCAATCTGTGAATGTGTTTTGGGCCCCGATTTCCTGTTTAAATAAATCTCATTAAAAAATGAACTTCTTAGCTGGGGTGGTGGCAGTGGCCCATGCCTTTAATCCACCAGAATTAAAGAGGCAGGTGACTCTGTGAGTTCAAGGCCAGCATGGTCTACAGGACACCAGGACGGTTACCTAGAGAAACCCTGTCTCTGGAAAAGAAAATAAAAACCACAAAAAAGTTATTTTAAAAGTAACTTATTTAGCAGGGTGGTGGTGGCGCACACCTTTAATCCCAGCACTCGGGAGGCAGAGGCTGGAGGATCTCTATGAATTGGAGGCCAGCCTGGTCTACAGAGCAAGTTCCAGGACAGGCTCCAAAGCTACACAGAGAAACCCTGTCTTGAAAAACCAAAAAAAAAAAAAAAAGTAACTTATCTACTTTTATTTTATGTGCATTGGTGTCTTGACTGCATGTATGTCTGAGTGAGGGTGCCAGATCTCCTGGAACTGGAGTTACAGACAGCTGTGAGCTGCCCTGTGGGTGCTGGGAACTGAACCTGGGTCCTCTGGAAGAGCAGCCAGTGTTCCTAACCGCTAAGCCATCCATCCAATCCCAAAAGAAGTTTTCAATGAACAGAGCTTATGTCTGGGTGAGGTTGCAGCTCAGGGGGAGAGTTCTTGCCTGGGCTGTGAGGTCCTGGACTTGAGCCTCAGCACCCTGGCTCACCCCCCGCACAGGAAAGTCCGTGCCTTCACCAATTAGATTATTTAAAGTGAACAGCCAAAATGACCTGCATGTTATCACAGATGCCAATACACACATGAGAGAAATAGCAAGGAGACTGGGAACAAGTTTATGTACATCAGCTTTTTCCTCATGGTGAGAACTGGACTCAGGGCTTTGTTCATGTGGAACATTGAACTGCGCATGCCAGCCCCTGGTTCGCTCTGCTCTTTTCTTTTTTTTTTTTTCTGAGACAGGGTTTCTCTGTGTAGCCCTGGGTGTCCTGGAACTCACTCTGGCCTGGCCAGCCTGGCCTTGAACTCACAGAGATCCACCTGCCTCTGCCTCCCGAGTGCTGGGACTAACGACGTGCACTCGTGCTTCGTTTCTTTATAAAATGGGGAGAGCATACTGTGCGCTGCCTGGGGCCTCTGAACTCCTGCACCCACCCGGTAAGTGTTTGAACTGCCTGCCTCCGCCTTCCAGTAGCTGAGGCTATTCACACTTCCTGGTGTCTAACTTACACAGAGCTCGTTCTGCGTTGTTTAAGACGTGTTTAAGAAGATGGGGCTGGGGGCTGGAGAGATGGCTCAGAGGTTAAGAGCACTGACTGTTCTTCCAGAGGTCCTGAGTTCAATTCCCAGCAACCACATAGTGGCTCACAACCACCTTGAATGAGATCTGGTGCTCTCCGCTGGCCTGTAGGCAGAAGAGTGTATACACAATAAATAAATAAAATATTTAAAAAAAAAAGAAGATGGGGCTGGAGAGACGGCTCAGCAGTTACGGATGCTTGCTGTTCTTCCAGAGGCCCCGAAGCCAGGAAGGGTGGCTTAAAGGCACCAGTACTCCAGCTCTAGGGGATCTGACACCTCTTCTGGCTTAAGTGTGAAGGTGCCCACATGTGTGTGCACAAACACGCAGATATACGTGCATACACATAAATAAAACTCTTTTAAAAACGAATAAAAACACCATGAAAAGCCACATTGTCAATCCTAAACATCCCTCTCACAGATCATCTCTCCCCTGGGACGTCCTGAACTTGGTGTTTATTTTTCTGAAACTTGCACCTTTTCCTGCATATTATGTTTCTGAGAGTTTTCTCGTTGATAGCCTTTCGGAGTCAACTGACTCTCAGTGCAAATTATTTGAATAGACCACAGCCTAAGTGTCCTTTCTGGTCAGTGCACATTAAATAACGTTGGACCAGTCTCTCCCTGCTTGCAAAGACTGGGAACACTGCTCAAGCATCTCTTGATGTGCTCACTCAGGGGTCTCTTAGGATCTTCTAACAGGGGCAGAATCGCTGGTTCGTAAGATTTGGAAATCTTCCATGACTCTAGAATTATTCTTCAAAGACCTTGTTCAAATCAGCACCCTTACCCACAGTCACACCCACCAACTCGAGGAACTGTCAGACCTCGTCCTTTTGTTGAATTTGGCACGAAGGGCTTTCTTGTGGTTTGTTTCCATTTCTCTGATGACTCAGGTGAGATTAGCACTTTTTTTTGGCCATGCAGGTTTCTCTTATGAGAATTGCTTTTATCTAGGTTTTTCCTGTTAGAATGCTTTGGGGTTGGGGATTTAGCTCAGTGGTAGGACATTTGCCTAGCTAGTAGGTAAAAGGTCCCAGATTCAGTCCTTAGCTGGATGGGGGTGGTCACGGATTAGAGAAAGACCACAAAAAGACCACAGAAAGATACAAAAAGTCAAAATCAAGGCAACTGCTAGAAACAGTCAGTGTTTGTTCTTTTCTTAATGGACATTTAATGTTTCACAGGTATCTCTTCCCCTCTATTTTCCTGTGTGTGTGTGTGTGTGTGTATGGTGTGGTGTGTGTGGTTTGTGTATGTGTATGTATAGTGCTGGGGACCCAACCTAGAGCCTCATACAAGCCAGACACGCACTCTGCCACAGAGCTATGTTTCATTCTCTTCCCTCTTTCTCCACCTATGCCAGTGTTTGGACCTAGGGCCTTGCAGATGCTAAGTAGCCAACAGTCTATCCTTGAGCTTTTCCCCTAGCCATCTTCTTACTTTAAAACAAATTCGGGCAGGGTCCCTCCAAGTCACCCATGTTGGTTTGAACTCACTCTGTAGCCCAGGCAGACCTTGAGCTTGGAATCACAAGCCTGTAGAGGAGACGTTTCTCTGTCCAGCCCAGTCCCATTTGATTGGTTTCTCTCCACCCACTGGGCCCCTGAAGCTGCTGACAATAAGATAAACACTCAGAGACTTAATATATATTCATAGTTGCCTGGCCAATGGCTTAGGCTTATTACTGGCTAGCTCTCTCTATTATAAATTAACCCATTTCTACTAATCTGTATATCACCATGTTGCTGTGGCTTACTGGTGATGCCCTGATATCTTGCCTTCCCAGTGGTTACATGGCATCTCCGCATCTCCTCAATTCCACCCCCCCCCCTGTTTGTACTCTGCTTGGCCGTTGGCTAAAACAGCTTTATTCATCAACCAATAAAAGCAACACATATTTGCAGGATACAGGACATCCCACATCATCTCCCCTTTTCTGTCTAAATAAAGGAAGGTTTTAACTTTAACATAGTAAAACTATATTTAACAAAACAGTTATCAAGCAAGAATTATAGTTACAATATTTAGTCTATTTGCATTTGACAAATTAAAGAAACTACTCTATCATCTATCCTATCTTTGTGTGTCTAAAGTTTTATATCTAATTTACCTTTTCTTATAAGGAAAACTATAACTATCTGTCTTTAACTCCATTGAAGACTCCAGAAGGATATAATATTACCTAAGTAAAGAGGAGGTGCAATATAAGTAATTTTCAAGCCTTTAGAAAAGACAGAGATCCTCCTGCCTCTGTCTCCCATGTGCTGGGATGAGAGGTGTGGGCACCATGCCTGGCTTAGTGTTATCTGGTTAAGCCTCATGTGTCTTGAGTAGCTTGGAAGGGACAATTGTGCTGTTCTGAGGGTCTAGTGGGTACCCGGCACACAGCTAATAGTCAGGTGCAGGCACAGAAAATGGCCTGCCATCTTGTTCCAGGTCAGATGGCTGTAAGTGCCTTAGCTGGGCCTCAACTCTGAGACTCGTTACTCTCCAGCCCAGCTCATTCTGGTACGTGGTGGCTCTACCATAATTAAGTTGTGTCAGGGGAGGGCTTGGCTTTCATAAAGATTTATCAGGAAGGCCTCTAACAAGATGCAATTAGGACATATTTAAACAGATTGCTATCTCAGCAGTGAAATTTTTTATTTCTATGTTTTAACATCAGTAATTGGCATAAGTGGTCCTTCTTGGAGAACACAGGTAAATGAGAAGTAATTAGAACTGAGCTACTGAAAAAACAAAAAAGAAATAGTCTTAATAACCCTGCTCATATGTGAAGGCTCAATAAGGAAGCCAAGCAGAATTCCACTCCCCTCTCTCGAATCTGTAGACCTGGATGACATTAAACGTTCTCTTTGCTCATTTATTCATTCAATAACTGTCTTCCCAAGTATGCATTTTGTTTAGTGCGTGAGAGAGTGGTGAATAGACCCAGGTACTGCCATCACAGAGTCTTTAGTTCCGGAGAATACAAATTAATAAATAGGGGAACAGGAAAAACATTTAAGCACTTGCCACAAACACCATGAAGCACTGTGACAGAACGATATGGGGATAGATTTTATTTAGTGACGAGCAAATAGAAAAGGTCCTATACATTTTGTGCGTGACCAGCCACTAACATTTAATTATTTTAAAAAATTTGAGACAGTGTCTTATATAGTTCAGTTTGGCCTCAAACTTGTGACATAGCCAAGGATAACCATTTTCTCCTTCCTTTTGTTTTTTAAAAGTTCTAGTTTATTTATTAAGCATACAGTGTTCTGCCTGCATATACACCTCTCCCCAGGTCCTTC